AAAAAATACATAATTCTTCACAGTGGTGGGAGGAAAACTTCAACTAAGAAAACAGGGATGTTTGTACCTGAATAATGTGAAGTAACTTTCGTGCGGCCTTTGATAAAGTTTTTGTTTTGTTTTTGTTTTTTAACTACACATGTTGCACCCAATGGAAAACAACAATGTGTAGAAGGCGTATGATCCTATCCTAAAGATAGGAAAATAGATCCTGTGCTAAATTATCATCTCTCTTGAGGTCTAAGTAAAAGTTTGCTGTTAATGATTCTAACAAGGGTATCACTAAAAACATAAACGCTGCATGGCTAAAGCATTTACTTATGCCCCACAAATGACCTTAATTTTTGTACATGCCAAAAGAAGTTATAATCTCACATATATGAATCTAATCAAGAATGTAATGACAAACTGAAAATCCATATCTAATCAACATGAGACTGTTACATAAAACTTTTACTTTTCAAATACTACAAATGTATGCCATAATATATTTCTGATGTACTTAAAAATCTTAGTGGGCATCCAAATCTTTTAATACTTATATTCTAGATTATGAGCTCTTAAATATCAGTGACTCTTTTACACCTTTGTAACACCAAATATTACCTTAGGTAGTAGAGTTTAAAATAGTTGATTTCATGATGCTTTTTTTCTAATTCTTAGTTTTTTTAATTGTAGAATACATAGAATGAGATGTATAAAGGGCTCTAATTTTAAGTGCCCAACACACCACCTAGTTGTATAACCACAACCCACAACTAATTATAGAACACTACTTACTACTATCACTGCAGAAGTTTCTCTCATGCCCCTTGTTGATGTCCCTCCCAAAAGTAAGCACTATTTTGATCTCTCTCATAATGCCTTGAAAAGTTCACTTTGATAAAAAGTATTTTGTTTATAATTAATTTGGTGAAAATAAGCATTTATATTCTTAGGTAACCGGTCACAAAGATAACAGGGGTTATTTCAATATAAATTTCAAGCCCAACTTTCTACAATGACTAAGTTCACTAGATAAATACCACCAGCATCAAGCTCATTTTGTGTTGTGTTGTGTGGACCAGAAATAAAAAGCTCATTTAATGGTAACCCTTCAAAAGCATTACTCAAGAGTCATGATCATGTTCTAATTATTATGGGGTGTGTACTAATTCACAAAAATGTCAGACTCTTTGAAGGCACAGAAAGCCTACATTTCATGCCCCTAAGTTAATGAAGATTAAAAATTCAAGGTTTGTACATTGATGGCAACTACAAAAGCTTTGTTAAGATAATAGCCTTACTCTTCTTCTCATATAACAGTGATGCTTCTGTTAAAGAGTTTCACAGAAGTTTGGCAGATTGAACAAAATTGATGAATAATGGCTTTCAATGAGTGGTGCAAAATAGCAATGCCATTCACTTCATTCTAGGGTAGCTCATCATATTTTCCAGACTTTTTTAAACCAGAAAACGAAGTCTTTGTGTGTACTGTGTGATAGAGTATCACATCCTTATGGAGTATGCTCATCCATGGTGCTTTGTACGTAAAGGATGCAGCTCCTGATATTCTTAATGGTAAATGGCAAATCTTCTGTGGTATCTACCTCTAGATTGGGGAAGTTCCAAGAGACAGAAGTAAAATGAACTTGGTTGGGGGATATTAGCAAATTATACATAAATAGTGGGCAAGGGGTTAAGATGTTTGTACTGGTGGAATTAAATGGGAGATTCTTTCATTCAGGAAACATTTGTGTTAACTCCTACTATGAAAGACTGTGCTATATATATTCTCTAAAGGAAACAAAGAAAATGAGAATTCCTGCCTCAGTAATTACTTAGTAGAGCAGAGAAAGGAGGACAAATAACCATGAACAAAGAAGTTTTACCATACACAAAAGGACAGATGTTAAAATCACTGTTTATCAAAAACTTGAAAGTAGATCAAAATAGCAAAGAATGTCCTGGTAGCACAAAAATAGCCTCATTTTAGAATTCTCATGAACTTTTATTGTCACCATTAGTACCACCCCCTCCACCATTCCTAATATCAAAACACTTTTAATATTTTTGTCATTGCTATCCAACAAGACTCATCTCCTCTTTGACTGTCCTATGTACTCCAGGCTTTACCCAGAATGGTGTTTTGCTCCTTAGACAGCATTTGTTCTTCTGTTTCATAATTGCTTGAAGATATAGCTCTAAAGTTATCTTCTCCAACTTCCCTAATTGTGTGCACCACAGGTGTATATTCTTTTACCATCAACATTTCCTCAATGTTTAGGTATAAATGTCTTATTACATCACTGGTGATCGTTTTCAGATTGCTTTCTACTACAGGAAAGTGCCACAAAAAAAGGGCACTGTATGGGGTTTAGTATTCATTTAGTATCTAATATATAAGAAGTCTTCAAAATGCTTGCTGGAATCCACCTGGGTGGCTCAGCTGGTTGAGTGGCTGACTCTTGGTTTTAGCTCAGGTCATGACCTCAGGGTCATGACAGCAAGCCCCACATGGGGCTCCATGCTCAGCGGGGAATCTGCCTGAGATTCTTTCCCTCTGCCCCTCCCCCCAGCATGCCTGCAACACGCACACACATATACATGCTCCCTCTTCCTCTCTCTCTAAAGTAAATAAATAAATCTTAAAAAAATGCTTGTTGGATCACAGAATAGCTGAGTGGAGGACAACTGTTGCTTGAGGAACAAGCTTGAGGAAGCTTGGCATAGTGGAAGACTGGAGTCAGAATCTGAAGTTTTAGATGTGATCCTTATCATTGAAAAGCTGCAATCTTGAGCAAGCCATATCTGAAAGCACAGAGACAAGAATTGATAATGAGTGGCAATCTAAGGGAAATGATGGAGTTTAATTTGCTCTCAAGTGATTCTACTTAATAGATAAGTAATTTTAATACAGTGCACATTGCCTAATGAAAAATAAGAAGGCCTAAAAATGTTTTGTATTACTGTAAAACAAAGGAAATGACATCAAAAGAATGAGTTGTAAGAAGAAGTTGCAAGGTGGTCAGCAAGGCAAAGGAAGACAAATTGTTGGATTTTGCTTTGAGACAGATATTGTGACTAGAATGAGTGATTTCCATGGCTCAGATTATCATCTGTTTAAGGGTGACTGAAAGTTAAAGAAAAAGAGACTCTAAATGTAGTTTATGCTTTTAAGAAAGTTAGAGATATGAGCACAGAAAAAGACTAAGAGTTTTCTTTTTTTTAAAGATTTTACTTATTTATTTGACAGAGAGCACAGCAAGAGAGGGAACACAAGCAGGGGGAGTGGGAGAGGGAGAAGCAGGCTTCCCGTTGAGCAGGGAGCCCCATGTGGGGCTTGATCCCAGGACCCTGGGATCATGATCTGAGCTGAAGGCAGACGCTTAACAACTGAGCCACCCAGGCACCCCAGACTCAGTTTCAGTGTAAAAGGTTTATCTTCAACAAAGCAGGAAAGAATATCCGGTGGAAAAAAAGACAGTCTCTTCAACAAATGGTGTTGGGAAAACTGGACAGTTACATACAAAATAATGCAACTGGACCACTTTCTTACAGCACACACAAAAATAAATTCAAAATGGATTAAAGACCTAAATGTGAGATAGGAAACCATTCAAATCCTAGAGGAGAGCATAGGCAGTAACCTCTTTAATATCAGCTGTAGCAACTTCTTACTAGATATGTCTCCTGAGGCAAGGGAAACAAAAGCAAAAATAAACTATTGGGATTTCATCAAAATTGAAAGCGTTTGTACAGTGAAGAAACAATCAATAAAACTAAAAGGAACCTACAGAATGGGAAAAGATATTTGCAAATGACGTATTTGATAAAAGGTTAGTATCCAAAATCTATAAAGAATTTATCAAACTCAACACCCAAAAAACAAATAATCCAGTTTAAAAAGTGGACAGAAGACAAACAGATGGCTAACAGACACATGAAAAGATGCTTAACATCACTCATCAGGTAAATACAAATCAAAACTATAATGAGATATCACCTCACACCAGTCAGAATGGCTAAAATTAACAACACAGGAAATAACAGTTGTTGGCAAGGATGTAGAGAAAGGGAACCCTCTTATACTGCTGATGGGAATGCAAACCAGTGCAGCTACTCTGCAAAACAGTATGGAGGTTCCTCAAAAAGTTAGAAATAGAACTACCCTACAATCCAGCAATTACACTACTAGGTATTTACTACAAAATTTACAAAAATACTGAATCGGAGGGAGACATGCACCCTGAAGTTTACAGCAGCATTATCAACAATAGCCAAATTATGGAAGGATCCCAGATGTCCATCAACTGATGAATGGATAAAGAATGAGGTGGTATATACACACAATACTACTCGGCCATAAAAAAGTGAAATCTTGTCATTTGTAATGACATGGATAGAGTTAGAGAGTATTATGCTAAGCGAAATCAGTCAGTCAGAGAAAGACAAATACCATATGATATTATCTCCCTTAAATTCCACTCATATGGGCACCTGGGTGGCTCAGGTGGTTAAGCGACTGCCTTCGGCTCAGGTCATGATCCTGGAGTCCCGGGATCGAGTCCCACATCGGGCTCCCTGCTCGGCAGGGAGTCTGCTTCTCCCTCTGACCCTCTTCCCTCTCATGCTCTCTGTCTCTCATTCTCTCTCTCTCAAATAAATAAATAAAATCTTAAAAAAAATAATAAAAATAAATAAATAAATTCCACTCATATGTAGAATTTAAGAAACAAAAGAAATGAACATGGGTGGTGTGGGGGGGGAAGAGAGGGAAACCAAGAAACAGACTCAACTATAGAGAACAAACTGATGGCTACCAGCCGGGAGGGGACAGGCGGATGGGTTAAAAAGATGATATGGATTAATGAGGGCACTCCTGATGAACACTGAGTGTTGTAGGGAAGTGCTGAATCACTAAACTCTACATCTGAAACTAACATTACACTGTATGTTAACTAACTGGAATTTAAATAAAAATGTGGGGGGAAAAGTTTAAATGTGAAGGTTTAACGGCATTTTTTTTTTTTTCTGATGCTTTTCATTATCACAGAACACACCACCTGCAATGTGCGCGAAGAGGAAATGAGGGGTGAGGGACAGAGGTCAAAATGGGAAAGCCTGCATGGTCATTTCACTTCTTCTCTTTCTGCTTGTCCTTCTCATTCATAGCCAGGATCATCATGAGCTTTCTGAAGAGAGTAATGAAATCTAAGAAGAGGTCACCGCAGTGCCAGATATAATCCTTATCTCCATTTTCAGCCTTCTCAATAATGAGTTGAGTATCAAAAAGGACAAAGCCACACATGACCACCAGCCCCACATACAGGTTTGCCTGGAAAAGCCAAATGGATCCAAAGAAAAGGTTCCCCAGGGAAGACAAGAGCATCAGGCTCATGGCTGACATCAAGACACCTCCGAGAAAGAGGTAGCTCCGGCGCCTGGCATACAGGGCGCTCAGGGTGAAGCAGGTGAAGATCATTGCTGTGCCCGTGGAGGCGTTGGGAAGAATGCTGGGGTTGATGGCAATGCACAGCTCCAGAGCAGGGCCTAGGCCAACTCCTGTAAGGAAAGCAAATACAGCAAGAAGTCCCAGTCTTTTTTGCTCAGTTTCATGGCTATGAGGTGTTGTCATCAGCCAAATCATCAACCCCAGGGAGCCCAAGGCAGAGAGCAGGCCAGCCTGAAGGAAATGAGTGACGACATGGACATAGGCCCCCATGGCCGCCACAAACATACAGAGGGCAAAACTGGCATAGACCTTCTTCAGGTGCTGCTGTGTCGAGGGGGTTATGTGGGAAAATTTTAAGAGTGTATCACAGTTGATCTTCTGATCAAATATGTTCATGATGCCAGAGTCTGTGGGACACAGCCTCCGCTCTTCTTACCAGCCTCCCAGGAGCCTACGCAGCTCTTCTAACACCGGATGTGTTTCTTTAATGACATTTTTAATCAAGGTTTTACTTTGTTCTTGGTTTTTGGAGGAAGGATTATTTTGGAGAGAACAGATAATATAATCTCACAAAAACCTAAAATATTTTAAAAGAGTCATGATGGCATCCTTATTTTGCTTGTCCTAAATTTCAAAGTGGCACAAATATGATTTTTCTATGCAATGCTTATCATATGCAATCTTCTATTCATGCCATACTCAAAAAATAAAAGTAGTTTATACTGTCATTTTTAGTAAGTTGTTTCTAAATAACTGCATTCTTTGAATGACTTTGAACTTTGTTCAGGGAAAATTTTGTCACATACTATGCTACAGCAATAGTTTGATTATGTTTGATTTTTTTGGATCACGCACAGGAAGCTTTTGCCTCCTGTGCATATTAAAATGTGGCTTCCATGTCACTAGAAAGAAGTCAAAAAGCTTCAAACCTGTGCTCGAACCATTCAAAGAAGATTGTAATATTATACACATTTCTTCTCTTGGTGTCTAAGAGAAAAATAAAATGTTGACTGGCTTGGTAACTGATTGATTACAGCAGGGGCCAACAAACTATAGCCTATAAGCCAAACTGGGTCTGCTGCTTCTTTTTATATATAAAGTTTTATTAAAACACAACCACAGGGATTTAGGTACATATCATCCATAGCTGCTTTTGCACTATAACCACACACACAGTTGAATTAGCTGTAACAGAGGCTGTATGCCTTAAAAAAATCTAAAATATTTATTATCCTTTGCAGAAATTTGCCAACACTATATCAAAGTTTAACATTTATAGTAAATGTCTTAATTTCTAAAACAGATTTCAAATATGTGCATTCCCACATTATGTTTATTTATATTAAAAATGTGAATTTGACAAATACTTATTGAACACCTTCTATGAGTCAATCTCTTTATTAGGTGCTAGAAATACAGCAATCAACAAAACAAACAAAATTCCCGGTCCTCATGGAGCTTACATTCTAGATGTAATCAACCAGATAATAAACAACCAATAATCAACATCAAAAATCAACAAAATAATCCACCAATCAACCAAATGAATGGGAAAACATTAAAATAGTGTGCTAAATGATCATATGTGCTACTAATAATAACAAGGAACAAAAGAGAATAGGAGGTATCAGGAATTAAAGCAATAAATAAACATATTATTTACTACTACATGTCAAGTATAGTATCCTAAGATTGTCCTTAAATAAAACAAAGTTATCTCCCAGTACATCCTGTAAAATAATGACTCCCTAGCTCAAATGCCCATTTCCTAAGTTTATTATACTCAGTCCAGACACATTAAAATATCCTACTGATCTTTACCTTTAATTTGTACATGTTTCTGTGCCCACAATTCACAAAACAGAGTGAGACCAAAAAAGAATCCTAATATACAAAATTAATCCCTATGGAACAGTCTATCATATTAAACCGGTCCCTACAATTATGTATAAATTCAGTGTTTAAATCCAATTACAATCCCTCCATAATATTGTGTGAGGAGAGTAAATTTCATATAAAAGTGTTCATGTCAGTCTAGCAAGTAATAATAGCTCAATAGTACCTCAACACATTTAGAAGACAGGAAGAAGAAAAAAGTCTAATAATGTTGCAAATTATTCTTGCAAAATAAGTGGAATATAGTCATAATTTAATCATTAAATTAGCTTATGAAATAGTTATAAACAATATAAACAGCAAGCTATAAACAACCATAATCCAAACAATTTTCATTACATTGACAGAGCAGAAGGTAATTCATATTTTTAGAACTTTTTTGATTGAACTACATAGATGATACACAACTGAATCTCCCTTTTGTGTGCCCAACGATATAAAAATAAAATGGGAATAGTGGTTTATACTGGGACACACTGGATTTCAATGCTTTTGGTAGTTTGTCAGTACAACAACCTTATTCTGGGTTTTGATTAACGGTCTCATTCCTTGAATTAGATCTTAGTTTCTTGATGCTACTATTTTATAAGAAAATTATGACTGAAATGTTCACGACAGCTTTAGAGTTAAATATCAGAATGCAAGAAAAGTATTTTAAAAACCACTGATCTTAATTTCTGAGAAGTTTTTTTTTATTTTTGCAGTAATCTTTCGTTGAAGGAAAAATTACTCTCATAAAATATTAATGGCAACCCTTGTTGAAATACCTAACAATACTAACATTTTCTGAACTTATATTCTAGTAACCAATAAATAAGACCTGACCTGAAAGGTATTCTAAATTAAAATGAAATTTTAATTAAAATATAAAGTAATAGATTTGGTATTATTTCGGTTTTAAGAATATACTTATTACTGTAAATCTCTTACAATCTTATATAGATCCTCCTTGAATTATGATGAGTTGATAAGCCCATCATAAGTTGAAAATACTGTAACTGGAAAATGCATTTAATATACCTAACCTAGCCTACTTTAGACATGCTCAGAACACTTACACTGGTCTACAGTTGGGCAAAACCACTTAACACAAAGCCTATTTTACAAAAAAAATATTGAATATTGCATTTCGTTTATTGACTACTGTACTGAAATTGAAAGAGAATGGCCGTAGGGATACAGAATGGTTTTAAGTGTATCAGTTGTTTACCCTCTTTGATTATGTGGCTGCTAGAGAGCTGTGGCTCACGGCTTCTGCCCAGCATCACCAGAGAGTACTGTACCACATACTGCTATCACAGGAAAAGATCAAAATTAAAAATTTGAAATATGGTTTCTACTGAATGCATGTCACTTTTGCATCATCATAAAATAGAAAAATTGTAAGTCAAACCACTGTAAATCTGGGACCATCTGTGTATTATTTTCTCCGAAGGTGTGCTGGAAGAATGGTTCTGCTAGGGGGAGTTTTTTTTTTTTTTTTTTAAACCACTGTATTGTTATATACTTTCTCCAATTCTAACAAATGTAACTCTCAAGCATTTGCTCATTATTTCCTGAGTTCGATACTAACATCTTTTTAAAGATATTAACTGTTTTCGGCCCCTGAGTGTACCATTCGTTAGTAAGTGAAAAGGAAATCAGCTATTTATAAAATTTGAAAACTGAGAATCAGTCTTTAAGGCTAATGTAATTTGCATTGTTTGGGTGAATAGTAATACTTGCCATGATTTAGCAATGTACACACAGAACTTTTTCCAAATATCTCAAGTATCTTTTCTCTAGTTGAAGCAATAAAAATTAAGGAAGTTCCTGGATTTAACAGTATAACATGAAGCTATTCAACAAAAAGAAAAACAAGATATTTCTTCAAGAATTACTGGAAATGTCCCAGAATTTCAAGGCGGCAATTGTCAGTGAGATATCTGTTTATGGTAACCCTAAAGGTATCTAAGTAAATGTAAACACATAAACAGGACAAGTAATAAAAAAGAAAAGTGCACTACTTCTATTAAGAAAGCTTTATGTGTTACCAGTAATAATCATATTTGTTTCCCACATCATGACTCATATATACAAGTAAGTTACACATAAGATAATGAATTGTAAGGAAAAATAAGAAATATTTTTTCTGATAATGTTGCCAATAGCCTTTATGGATGGAGCGTGGCATTTATGTCTGAGTCTCAAACATATTTATCACAAATTGTCATAAAATATACATATTCAGGAGCCAATGTTTTTAAGATCTAAAGTTCTGCAATTACTGCTACCAAATGCCTTAACAGTCATACAGTATGACCAAAAACAGAATCATCCTTGTTATTCAAACATAATCCTTATGCCAAAGAGGCACAATTTTGGGTGGCATATTCTGTATCTTTCAGTAGCAATGAGAGTCTATTACTGACTTCAATATATTAAAAAAGCTAGTGTTTTTTTCTCAAAGAGTGGTTAATAGATGGATAACCTAAAGTGTTTGTTAAAAATTCAACTTTCGGAGCCGTCTCTTGTCTGTATGTCTTAGCCGGAACCAGAAATCTGCATTTTTATCAAGCTCCTGGGTGATTTGCACAACATAATTTAAGGGCTATTAAATTTACTGCAACCACACAAGTATAAAAATAAGGATGTACAGAACACTGGCAGCCCCTTGTTTCCCCAACAGGTCTCTCTAGTGGCTCTGGTGACCCCGGGTATCCCTAACCGGTCTGGACCCTGGGACCAATCCAGAGACAGAGGGGCTGGCTCATGTGCACTCTGCTTCTCGCCAGCCTTTTGTCCTTGAGTCGCCACAATCTCTAGATTTGTGTGAATATAGGCCACCTCCAGCTCATCAGTCCCTCTTCCTGTAGCTGGGAGTTCCCTGAACTATACCAAGTTTATGATGCAGGAGGTTTGAGTGAGACCCTCTGGGCCCTGTTCCTTGGGTAGAGTAAAGGCACCTGTGGGAGTCAGGTCCCCACTGTGTCTCTCATCAGAGAACTTCCCGCTGGACCGGGGATGACAAGGTTGAGGATGTCCCCTGAGACCCAGCTTCAGGGGAACTGACACCTCAACCGAGGTGGCCCTTCGTATCCCTATAAGTCTCCCAGAATTCCCCACTGGAGACTCTGTCCATTCCCACAATTCCCAAACTCGGGGAATGATCCCAGGGCGGATGCTTAATCTCGCGGCTGGTGCCTGTGCAGTTCACTCCTGCACACCTACCCGCCCACAGGCATCCAAGCCCATACCCATTGTATGGGACTTACAAGTCCCCTCCTGTAGGCAAAACTATGGGTAGGACTCCCCCCCCCCACTCCTAAGCCGGAGGAGCCCAGGGAGCCTGGCTTCCACCTCAGTCCACTTAAGCCTGTCGACTTTCCTCCCTGCACACCTCCTGCCCTCAGGCCTGCTGTACTTCCAGGCTTGTGTGTACAGGGAAGCTGCAGCCCCTCAGACCAGTGCAGTCAGGTTGCAGTAAGGGAAAATTTGTTTGAGTTAGACCCTTGGGAAGAGACTCCAGGCCCCTGCGGGAGTCAGGTATCCCAGGTGCTTGTCATCAGGAGACTCCCTAGACCAACCGGGGAAGAATGTAAG